GTGGGGTTATAAGGGGTTCTCGACGCAATTTTTATTTTTTTTTTGTGAGGTGCCGCCGACCCCCGACCGGTAGGTGCTGACCAGTCAAGGGCCGCCAACTGTCGGGGTATGCAACACTGCAGTAGATGATGGCAAAGTCAGAGAACCCCTACCTGAAGCATACGGAAGTCAAAGCGCCCAAGGAAGAGCGTCACTGATACAAGGAGGTTGAAAGCTGTCTTGAACAATTCCAGTGATGTCCTGTGAAAACAAGGGATTCGCAGCGAGATCCACCCATGCTCAGTTCAGCAGCCCAATCCAAAAACACCGTTTTTTTAACAGGCAAACCTGCTAAGTTTTCCTCAATAAAAAACCACAGTAGTTTTCAAGTATTCAATAAGCATAGTTAAACTTCAGTTTCAGTGAGTTCCCTCAATCTGAGTGGTGTGAGTACAAGGGTTGAGATTCTTCACGATGTCAAGAAGTTGTGGGGAGGAAGGTGATAACGCCATCATAGTATGTGAGGAGGAAGGTGATAACACCATAATCGTAAAGCTCATGTCATCTTCTTCTTATTATTATTCCATGTTATAATTTTTCTTTCTAGATTATCCGGGACACCCAGCCAGGCAGCTGGGCAACTCGCCTGGGGGTGTCATCTCGCTTTACGGCGATGAGGGTTGGTGTGGTGTTGGAAGCATCGTTACAGTCTGTATGTTAATACTTGACTTGCTTTAACGCACGGAGTAACCAACGTAGAAGTGATACTACCGTTGTGTGGCTTCGAATTACCAAGACGAGGATGGCTTCTAATATGAATCTCAACATCTTTTGGCTTCTCACTTTACTGCGATGAGTGTCGGTGTGGTGTTGGAAGCATCATTACAGTCTGTATGTTAATACTTGACCTACTTTCACGCACAGAGTAACCGGCGGAGAATTGATACTACCATTGTCTGGCTTCGAACTACCAAGACGAAGATGGCTTCTAATATGAATCTCAACATCTTTTGGCTTCTCACTTCAATGCGATGAGTGTTGGTGTGGTGTTGGAAGCATCATTACAGTCTGTCTGTTAATACTCGACTTACTTACAACCCTGGCCAGTAAACCTTGAAGAAATTTTACTCATTTTTTTAGACGGTGGCCCACTGGGGTTCTACTTGACCCACCGAAATAAGGCCCAAATCCTGTGCCTCTCTAACATTTTTCGTTGTTGATTCGGTGAGGGAAGTGGAGGGGGAGTTCATGGGGTTGAAAGGTGTTGGAAGTGGTTTCCTTCTTCTGCCTGAGTCTTGCCCATTATCTGCCTCTGCACTTGTGGAATCCATCTCACCAAAGGACTCCTACAACACCCAAAAATGATGATGACAATGGAAAAGTGGCACGGTGGAGAAAAGGGGAGGAAGATAGAAAAAAGGGGAAATGTGGCGTACGGCGGGGGGGGAAGGCGGAAAGAAGGGAAGCATGTGTCGCAATGGGCAGGCTGAGGAGATGGGGGGATGAGGGGATGGGGAAAAAGTGGCACGGTGGAGGGGGGGGAAGGCGGAAAGAAGGGGTGCGAAAAGGGGCTGACACGGTGCAAAGAAAAAGAAGGCGAAGAAGAATACTCACCTCCTTAGAGCGGATGGTGCACAGGCAGCGGGGTAGATCACAGGTGCGACAATGGTGCTTGACGTCGAGGGCGATGGAGCTTGGGGCAGACAATTGTGCTTATGGAAAGGGTGATGAAGCTTAAGGAGGACAATGATCAGCAGACTTCAGGAGACGAGAAAGAGTGCGTCAATGTGGGGGTGAGCCCCAGTCGCATGGGTATTCAAGTGGGCATTTAAATTCAAACGCCTACACAAGTGTCGACGCCCCCAAAGAGTGGTAGGCCCAAGAATTGCAGCTGTTGATCTTTCTAGACAGCTGGGACCTCAAGAAACTGAACTGAAACAAAAGCGGGCCCCACAGTCTTTTTCTCAAGCACCAGGTGGTGCTCTGGGACTGGCTGCAATCACCAGGCGCCCTACTGTTTGAAAAAAACTCCGGTTTCTCCCCGGCCCTGGGACCACCTTGGCAGGTAATGGGTGCCCAACGACCTGGATAGGAATCCTAGAGGCAAACTTTACTGTAATGGCTGCGCCCACCCCCCCCCTGCCCCCCTGAAAAAAGGTTTGTCCTTTTACCCTTTCAACGCAGGAGATAAAACCAGGCGATGACACAGTCATGGCAGAGACGCCCACAAAAATGAATAAGCAGAGTCACTGCTGAAAACTCGCTGACAACAACCAATTTGCCAGATGCTTGCTCGTGCACTCTGTGGAAAACCAGGTCGATTGCAATACCACATCTTTTTCTTCTTTTTTCATGCCGCAGGTAAAGATTCAGGGCCTTGCCACACTACTCACCAAATGTGCAAAATGGAGACAGTACCTCCTGCTAGAACTTGGGAAATTTATCCAGTCCATGTGGCTGAATGCTTAACACCTTTGAACTGTCGATAAGTACACCTGAGCTCAAATCCTATTGAGAGAGAAAGGAACTGACTCTGGATTACCTGGGGCCGGTCAGTCCACAGGCAATACCTCAAGGCTGTTGACGTCTTGTTTAAAATAGTGAATTCAAAAAGATACGCCTGCCATACTTTTGTCCTTTTCACAGTTTCCAAGCCGTGCGGCGAGGCCATGAATTCAGATACACAAGATACCATGCAGCCCACCAAGCCGCAGATAGGTAACCCGACTGACGCTCCTCAGGACAGAATGGAGGTAAGACCATGAGAAGTTCATTTTAATCTTTTTTAAATCCAGATCAGTATCATCCTCCCCATTCACCTAACTCTGTGCGAGGGAAACACCGCACACAGGCAAGAAACAGCCCAGCGTAGAGATCACATGAGCAGATGAACTGTGAAGCATTCATGCTATCTTTCAGCACATCTGACAAAAATGGAACAACAGAGAGAAGATCAGCATGGCCGCTGCAGGAAAAAAGAAAGAAAAAAGGTAGTATTCATTCCAGTGTGACCCGGGCTGCGGTCCCACTTGTACCTGGAATCTGCATTTCTCACTGTGGACGATAAAATGAACAGTCACAAAAAATGAAGATTCTGTGTGAATGGGATGTCCCCTGGGTGGCAAGATGTGTGCTCTTAGGCTTGAATGATGGGTTATTATGAAGTTTGGAGCAGGTTTTTTTGTTGACGACAACATACCCAGAGTACCATGGAACCATCGGCAGAAAGTCTGGCTTCGCTGTCTTCCATTCCACATGGGGACTGGGGACCACTTTCGTGTGAGTCAGAGCCCATCTGCATCAGCAAACACATAGCGAGTTAGCAACCCAAAAGTGGCAAAAGACAATGCAGACAAAGAAAAAGGCATCCGGTCATGAACCTACTAACAAGAAAAGAGGGAAAAAACGGGAAAAAACTCCAAAAAGAGGCAGAAAGACTGCCGCTCTCCAGAAAGGACTAGCTAAGTGCCCGCGGTGCGGGCTACGCCGGCAAAAATAACATATGGAATGGGTGACCTCACACTGTATTTCGGATGGCTCGCCTCCAAGATGTTCGTCCACAAAAACAACGGCGGCCTACCGGGGGGCACAAAATGACAGCCGCGCGAGAAATGAAAAAAGAAGAAAGGAAAAAAAAAAAAAAGAAAAGAAAAGGGGGGACACAAAACGACAGGTGCGAGAAATGAAAAAAGGAGAAGGGGGACACAAAACGCCGACCAACTGGGAAAAACAAAAAAGAAAAAAAAAGCCACCCGCATATTGGATGGCTCGCCTCCAAGATGTTTGTCTGCATCAACACCAGCCATGTGTCCCGCCCCTGGGGTGCGCTCTCTCGTTTAATTGGCGCGCTGTGAACATTTCGGTATGCACACCCCTCTGCACACTCCCCCGTCCTCGATCACCTTCATCCGCCGCCCCTCACCAAAACTTCAACCTGAATCCGGCGGGCAGCGCGTCATGGACATCCCCCCCCCCCCAGCGGCCAATGCTGCTTAAGGGATAGGGTAAGGAGCGTGAGGCTCTTTCTTTTATTCAAAAGAGGGAAAAAAAAAAAGAATTGGAAAGACATCCTGTCACACCCCATTGATAGACAGAGACTTCGACTGGCTATTTTATCTACATTTCCCTATCAGAAATTCAGAATGGTCCTGAACGAGTTCTTCTTCTAGTTTATTGAAGGGGTTTGCCAAGCACATCCCTCATGGCGGCCATCCGCGAGGGATGACAAGAGAACCCAGAGGTTTCACGGCTAGTACAGGAGAACAAGGGACAAGGAGGTGATGGTGGTAGGGAAGAGGAGCGAGAGGACGGGACACATTGTCCACTTGGATGGGCAGTCTGACCAGCGGAACAGACAGCACATCACCACGATGGTCTCTTCTCCAGTAAGGACAAAGCTTTTGAAGTTCCCTGCATGGAGGGGAAGGAGAAAGACGCTCTTGCTTGCTTTCACCATCTTGGACGCAACGAGAGCATCGCTGGAGTCGTCATGGACACTGCAAGGGTATGTGTGAGGCCAGATAAGACAGTGCAAGGGTGCATCCTGGCATTTTTCATGTAGGATGAACTGTGCATGCCTTGGACTTTGCTTCAGAAGACATGGGCTCTTACCTAGTGATTCGCTAAAACTGTGCACGACGGACATATATTGCATCGCTAGAGTCGTCATGGACACTGCAAACAGTGCAAAGGTATGTGTGAGGCCAGATAAGATGGTGCAAGGGTGCATCCTGGCATTTTTCATGTAGGATGCACTGTGCATGCCTTGGACCTCACCTCGGAAGACACGGGCAAGAACCTAGTGATTCGCTAAAACTGTGCAAGACGGAAATAATGCATCGTTAGAGTCGCATGGACAATGCGAGGGGATGTGTGAGGGCGGATAAGATGGTGCGCGGGTGCATCCTGGCACTTTTCATGTAGGATGCCCTGTGCATGCCTTGGACCTCACCTCGGAAGACACGGGGAAGAACCTAGTGATTCGCTAAAGCTGTGCACGAAGGAAATAATTCATCGTTAGAATCGTCATGGACAATGCGAGGGTATGTGTGAGGGCGGACAAGATGGTGCAAGGGTGCATCCTGGCATTTTTCATGTAGGATGCACTGTGCATGCCTCGGACCTCACCTCCGAAGACACAGGCAAGAACCTAGTGATTCGCTAAAACTGTGCAAGACGGAAATAATGCATCATTAGAGTCGTCATGGACAATGCGAGGGTATGTGTGAGGGCGGATAAGATGGTGCAAGGGTGCATGGCTTGGACCTCACCTCACAAGACATGGGATTCGTTAAAACTGTGCAAGACGGAAATAATGAGGGGAATCTCTCCATGAACCACAATAAGGTGAGGGCTTCACTCCATGGAGCTTTGGGCTAGAAGCAGCTGAAGAGACCAGTGATGACACAACTCGCCACAAGCTACGACATGTGGGAGTCATCGCAGAAGATGAAACTCAGCCTAACAGCATGTGTCCACAAGGACGGTTGGGTGGAAAAGTTTGTACGGGCTGGCCTCAGGCCGGCTTTCCATGCAGATATGACTGGCTTCTGGGCGGGGAGCAGTGAAGGCAATGGCACCGGTTGTGCACTTGCTGAAGATGGTGCACACGTTGGGGGCAACATCAGAAAGGTCTACAACCATATGGATGGAGTGGTGCAGGAGCTTCGTTGTCCGATTTGCCTGACTGACGAGGAGAAAGGTCAACTGGAGAACGTTTTGGTTGGCCATCGGACAATTATGGCATCGAAGCTGCATCGTAGGCCAGAGTTCCTCGATCCAATGCAAGACGTCATCCAGGACAAAGATTTGCACTCGCTTCAACATCTGGTACCACGCCTGGTCTCCCCCTGAGCAGTTGAAAAAGTCAGCCAGCAGGTGGATGATTGGGTTTTTCAAAAGGAGGTTCTCGGGTCAGCAACGGTATTGGAGCAAACTCATCCCCAGACTGCAGCACTGTGTTGCGAATGAATGGATGAAGCGCTAACTCGCACATTCACAAACCGCATAACACAAGTTCACATAGTACAGAAACAGAATAGGAAAAAAGGACAGCAAACAGAATGGATGCGGCGCTGTGTTGGGATGTTGTTGGAAACAAAGGCGTACATACCTGAAAACACACAGCGGACACCAAAGGAAGTGGATAGGGAGGAGGGAATGGGGGAAAAGGACAGCAAGACGTAAGCAGAAAGCAAGCGTCGATATTGATGCCCCATCGACGCGGGGAAGAGGGTGCCCCGCCAAATCCTAGTTCGCACCGATAAGAGCCAAAAAGGCAGCAGCAAAAGCCAGCGTACCCAAAGTTGCAGCGGCTAAAACTGTAGCAGCAAAAGACACTGCTGCCTAGTTCTTCTTGTGGAGCTGGAGGTGGGAAGACGGCGACAGAGGACAAAACCGACCGGGGGGGGGTTGGACACCGGACATTCATCAATGACTACAATGGACATGATGGGCAAGGCGCTGCAGCTGCTGGTAAGGAAGTGTCGATGTTAATAATGCAGTGATGGTAATGAAGGAGATGAACGGGACAAGGCCATGGAGGAGAATGTCAAGCAAGAGGAAGGACTTGAGAAATAATGTGGAGCATGCTGGAGAACGGGGTGAGGAGGAGGATGCCAGAGAATGTCAGTGTCATTGTATCAAGCTGAAAGGCAATTGCAAGACAAATATTTGTCGGGCTGGTGCTGGATGCTGGCCAACCATTTGTGGATCACCCAGATGGTGTTGCAGGCCCAGAATGTCATGAGCTGTTTGTTGGTCAGTCATTTGCACATCACCCATGTGGTCTACCTTGTGCAGCAATTCGTGGTTCAGTCCAATTGATAATGGTCCGCTATTTGCAGATCACTCATGTGGTCTATGCCTTGTGCGGCCATATGTGATTATAGGCCAAATCACGTCCTGACCTTGGGACGTTTGAGGCTGCATCCTGAGTGGGGACTGCGCGTTGAATCGGGAGTGCGTCCTAGGTGGGGTCCATATCCTGATCTGCAGGTTGTTCCTGAATATCCAATGCTGTAGGGCGTGAAACATGGCCTTGCGGCTGACTGCAGCAAGTTGGCCTGTCTGCAGGTATATCGCATATATAATATGTCACATAGATCATCATATATATCGCCAAAAGAACTTCCCGGCGAAGCGTACGCAGAGAGGGAGAGGAGGACAACAAATGAGCGGCTGTGACATAAATATATAGGCTTAGATTATTCATAAATTCGCTCCATCGCCCAAGAGTCAAAGCCTTATTCCTCCGATACCAACTGCAACACGTCCTCTCTGCGCCTCTCAACCCCCACCGCTTTTCCGTATATACTCTTTAATGAAACAGTGGGTCTTGCATACCGCTCCCAAGTGAGACCCTTTTCCCTCTTGGGCCCAGGGCAGCGGGCGCTGCATTGGCGGCACTACGTTTTTGCAGTTCTCGCTTCTATTTCGTTTGGTGAGGAGCCCTGGGGGCAAAAGTTCGATTCCACGCGCTGTTTCGCACCCCACATGACGGTTCGCCTGTTGGCCCGATCGCAATTGGAGAGACTGTTGTGACACCTGGCGTGCTGTCTTTATTTGTCCTCTGCCGTTTGTCGTTGGTGTTTTTTTTTTCGTGGGTGGACTCCTTTGCGCCATGGCTCAGGAGTCAGGACTCCAGCTGTTCGAGTTCGAGTTCAAATCCATACGCAGCCCGCTTCGACGTGGCTGCGTTTTCTTTTCCGTGAGTTGAGTTGTCCTTTTACATTTTTTGGGGGGACCATGTGCCAAATGAGAATGAATCCTCCGTTAGAAAAGGGAAGATACACCGTCATATTTTTTTATCTTCTGTGTGCGTGGTGAGTAGTGAAGGGAGGCCCTCATCCTTGCGCATCAGGAATGGGCCCTTGATTTGGCCGTGCCAGGGTCGCGCCCCGCTACTCATCAAATGTGCAAAATGAGAATGAATCTTCGATCTGGTCGTGTCAGGGTCGCGCTCCGCTACTCATCAAATGTGCAAAATCATTCCAAAATGAGAATGAATCTTCCCTAGAACAGGGTAGATACACGACCATATTTTTTGTTTTTGTGCATCTGGCGAGTAGTCGAGGGATGCCCTCATCCTTGCCAGGGCCATGGCCCCTCGATTTGACACTCTGCTACTCACCAAATGTGCAAAATGAGAATTAATCTTTGGCTAGAACATGGGAAGTACTTCTTGTTTTGTGCGTGTGTTGAGCAGTGGAGGGAGGCACTCATCCTTGTGCAGGGGCCATGGTAATCTTCTCTGCATCTTTCCGATTTTGACAGATGGCCCGGAGTTGTGTATCGTCTGGGGGCCTTACTCCACAGACACATTGGATCACGCAGGCCATATAATGCCGCTCGGCCCGCACGGTGCCGTCTGGCGACGCCAAAAGCCGAGTTGCGCCTAAAATTCAGCCATGTTTCTTTCTTTTTTTGCCTGTGTGCCGTGGCGGGCATCCGCTTGTTCTCCTAAAAAAAAAGGAATGCAAATCATGCAACCACAGGGGTATTCAATTTCACTGTTCACATCACTTAGTAATTTCCGTTCCCTTTTGTGGACCCAATGCCCATATCATTACTCACCCTGTCGACCTCTCTACGATGTAGTTCGCCATGTACATGCAGATGAAGGTTGCCCATAACGAGTAGACCGGCGAAATGTGATCCGATTGCCCAACAGTTGCGCCCTCAATGACAAGCTGCAAAGCGCAGTCCACAGCAATGAATAGCACCCATGCATTATGTTCCCTGTCAGAAATACTTCATGTCATTACATTTATTGTCACATTTCTATCGACTAAAAGAATGCGCTTGGCGAAACCAACAAAAAAAGAAATCGCAGACAACATTAAACGGTTCGTGTGGCCTTCCCCGTATATACATAGTCACAGAGACCTGCTCTGGGCAGAAAGGGAGAAAAGGACAAGAAATGGGGGGGCTGTGACAGACTGTTTCATCGGAGTTTCACCGACTATATATCGTCATAAAGAACTGCCCCGTGAACCATAGTAGGCGGTCAGTGAAGCTCCTCCAACAAAACAGTCTGTCACAGCCGCTCATTTGTTGTTTTATTCTCACTCTCTTCCTATGGTTCACCGGCCAGTTCCCTATGACGATATATGCCAACTAAAAGGGCACTCTCTGCAAAACAAACAAAGAAAAAACATGCCAGACAACACGAGATCAAGCTGTGTTTCCAACTTTACAACAAGCTCGACCTACTTTGGACCATTTCGTGATCTTCGCATGTCATCCTTGTACAGGGGCCAAGCAAATCTTCTGTGTACCAATTTTAAAGGATACCCCGAAACGAGCTGAACCTGCTTCTTCTTCCATTTTTTCTTTTCACACCTCCATGGGAGTCCGTGCATCACCAGGAAGACTCAGGAATTTGGTACAAGGGGAACCTCAGATCTTCTTCACACTCATTGCTGCTGGTATGGGAGTTAGCGGTCAACACTTTAGCGTTTGACATTTCAAGTCGTTGGTATATGCCCATTCTCGCTGTCTTAAAGCGCTAGCAACACAAACACCTCGCAGCCAAGGCACTATGGGACGGTGGCTCGCTCATCAGCCCAAACCACTCTAGGGTTTGCGCCTCTGCTGTTCACAGTCAAATGCTACACCTTTTCAAAATGAGAAGGGGGAGCGAGGGAAAGTGGGCCAGCTTAGACTTCCAAATCTGCGAAGAGAAGTTCAGGATTCTAATGGCTTATTCCCCGAATGCTTTGAATCAAAAGGCCATATTCATAGAGGGCCTCCTCCCGAGATGTGGTCCCGACATGCAACTCATCCTAGCAGGGTACTGGAATGCTGCACTTGACCCAGATATAGACCACTTTTAGGGGGAAACATCAGGAACAGCACAAGTCGCGTGGAATGAAGCTTTACCCATCCACGAGCTGATGACGGAAAAGGACCTAATCGACACATTCAGAGTTCCGCACCCGGACAGCACAGAAGTTACAGAAGCCAGCATATCTCTGCACATATTGACTACTGCTTAACATCGGCATCACTCATAGGCACAATCCACAATACAGAAATAGGAGAACCACCGCGGTACTCGGGCCTAGACCACAAACCGATCAGTTCATTGCTAAAATTAGGAACCTCTCCCAACAGATGACGAAGCTTCTTTAAAAGCAACAATTTCTCTACTAAATACATCAGAAATAGGGGAAGCAGCAGATCGGAAGATTGTCACGCCCAGCCAGTCCTGCCTTGGCAGACACCTGGGATAGCAAAAAACAATTTTTAAATTTTTATTTTGGATTTCTGCACTCTCCCAGGGGCCAGGACCCACTAGCGCCGTAGTATACCGTGTACGTACGGTTTTCAATCACGTGTGACAGAGTTGGATTGCTAAACGCCATCGATGGAGGGGAAATCCTGCGGCATTCTGAGTTTTGAACAGATTCAGAAAAAGCAAAAAAAAATTCGCTGTGTACCCTACGCACTTTCACCATTTGTTCCTTTTTCTTTATTTCAAAAGCATCGTGTTTTCCAGACTCTTTTTTGGGGGGGAACAATATTGTGACCTTGCTACAGTGCTTCGCGTGCACAAAAAGGCCGACCCAAAGAAAAAAAAAAAAACAAAGTCATGTGTACTGCCAAATATCATAATGACCTGACAGCAACGACCGTCGGAGGACCCAGCCCATTGGCTGAGTGCAGCACACACCCAGAAAAAGCGGCGATGAATTCCATGGCTCACAGCCCATTGGCTGACGGGAGCACCCTAAGCTGAATGTTACTTCTTTACTCGTAGAAAGCGAGTTTTTCAAATCTGAAAAAATACAGAAACCATGTCACACACCACTGTCCCACGGTATAATACGGCACTAGTGGGTCCTGGCCCCAGAGGACCCCAAATCTGGGCTCATTCCTTTTTTGAGAGTTCGCTGTCAAGGTGGGAAAAGGGGGGTATAAATCGATTTTTAAACTTTAAAGGGGCTAAAGGGATTAAAAGGGGGGTGCTTAAGTGTGATTCTGTTATTTTCTTTTTTATCTCCGATTCTGTGAGGAATTCTGATGTGACCCTCAGCCAAAAGTCGTTTGTAATAACTTTGTAAGTTTGTATTGCAATTCTTTTATTTTAATATTTATTTTTATTTTTATTTATTTTTATTTTTTTGCACTGGGGCTGCCCGGAACCCTGCCCGGGGTCATGCCCGGCCGGGCACCCGGGCGTGTATCCGGGCATAAGTTGGGTGCTCAGGCGCCCGGAAAAACAGCCTGGGGAAGCAGTTGCAAGGAATTGCGTCCTCGGCATGCCCGTGAGAGGCCCCAACAGCGAACATGTGCCCGCCCTAAGTGAAGGCGGGGCCTATGATAGAGATAGTCGGCAAACCCACCAGAGTTCAGGGTTTAGGAATTAGACACGGGACCCTCAAAACCCTTGATATTGGTTGGGAGAGTCTAGGGGTTAGAGAGGAAGGCCAGGACAATAGACTAGGATCTTATAGGAAGTTCAGCAGCTGGTGAGAACCCCATGCTTGCTCTAGCTTCAGATACACAAGGACATATCAGGAACCGTTCATTCTATTGGGGATAGGCCTCTATAGATTCAGGCTATAGCAAAACCCTTAATTTCCATCTTCCCACGCTTGCTCTAGCTTCCCACGAGAATCCGACAGCACCTCGCCTGAGAGGGGCTAAGAGTGAGGAGACTCACAAGACTAAGAGCTAGTTGGAATAGGCTAACTTAGGCAGGGTTGAGGGGTGGTGCAACCTTCCCTACGGAAGCAATCAATGCCATCCACTCGGGCCTCTCAGCCATAATGGGGAGGAGGGCATGTGACACTGTGTGTCCTTAAAGTATTCATTATTGACTTGCCGGGGGAATAGGAACCGGACTGTCGCTCCCCAGAATGGTAGGAGCCAGAACCGAAAGGTTCCGTTTTTTCTTAGGCGAGGATTTGGGTCCTCAGCAGGCCTAAGGGGCCCCGGTCGCAGTGTAAGTGACAAGAGGCCTTTGACTGTCAATTTCATATTTGGGGTCCAGGCAGTTGCGACGCGCCAGTTGGTTGAGTGAAACACAGGACGAGCAAGCTTCATGTCGGCCTTTTGGACTTCTCTCATGACTGAGTCCGACACGACAATGAAGCCGAGCTCGGCTCGGCACCCGCAGACGGAGCGAGCGCACCAGACCGCTCAGATGATGTTGCGTAYGCTCATCCGTCCCGACCAGAAAGATTGGGTTGACCGGCTTCCCGACATCGAGTTCGCCTACAACACTTCGGTGCACCCGACGATCTGCGTCAGACCATTCGAGCTACATCATGGTGGAGAGAAAGCACGGATCTTCGCTGATCTCCTTTTGCCACAGGCTGCCGACATAGACGTCCCTTGCTCTCCCGCTTCCGTTCGGAAGTACCGGGACTCGCTGATCAAAGCCCCCGCAAATATGCAAAAGGCTCAGATCCGCATGCAGCAGCAGGCTAACCGACGTCGACTTCCATGTCCTTTCCGCGAGGGAGACCTTGTTTGGGTCCTCTCCGAGGAATTTGCGCTCGAGCAGGAYGTTTCGCGCAAACTCCTTCCGAAATGGTTCGGACCATGGGAAGTCACTTCCGCCGTTGGAGACGACCCCGCAGGTCCTTCCTTCGTGATCAACATTCCACC